TACTCTGGGTCGGGCAGAGGTCCCGGCATGGCGCCAGAAGCCTGAGCCTGGGAACCCTGTACCCGCCCTCCTCATTCACTCGCTCGACTTCTAGAGAATCCCAGGGGCGTGGGTTCCGCGGGCCTCGCCCCGCCCCCTCGCCCCCTCGCCCCTATTGGTCCTGCTCCGGGAGGTGGCGGGAGCTGACGACGCGCGGGACCCGAGGCGCGGACGCCACAGACGGTAGCTTAGCCGAGCCGGCGGCTCTCGGGCTTCCCGCCGTCTGAGACCCCGCGGGAGCTGCGCCCGCCGCCCGGCCCGCTAAGCTGGGTGTCCTCAGCAGCCGGCCCGGCGGGCACAGTGGGGACAGACAGAGCAGCCGCACGGCTCGCAGACGGGGTAGGTGCCGCGTGGAACACCTCGAGGAAGTTGGCCCGAAACGCCCTCGTACTCGGCCCGACCGTGAGCTGATGCGCGCCCGCTGAGCCCTACCCGGCGCCATGGCTGCGTGGCCCGGCCCGCTCTGGCTGCTGGGCCTGGCGCTGTGCTCCCTGAGCGCCGGCGGCCCCTGCCCGCGGCCCGCACCTTGTTGCCCGCAGCGTCGCCTGGGCGCCCGCGAGCGGCGCGACATGCAGCGCGAGATCCTGGCGGTGTTGGGGTTGCCCGGGCGTCCCCGGCCCCGCGAACCGCCTGCCGCCGCCCGGCTGCCAGCGTCTGCCCCGCTCTTCATGCTGGACCTCTACCACGCCATGGCTGACGACGACGACGACGGCGGGCGCCCGGAGCGGGGCCTCGGCCGAGCTGATCTGGTCATGAGCTTCGTCAACATGGGTGAGTGAGGGCCGCCGGGGTGGGCGTCCCCGGGGGATGCAGAAAGGAGACGACTGTTCACAGCCTCAGGCTAGGGCAGCTGAGCTGAGAGCACCCGGGAGCAGGGGCTCAGCTGTGGGTGGGCTTATGGGGGGCACGCCCCTGACACAGCGGGGGTCAGACTCCGGTGAGTCGTGTCCAGGCGGCCCCGGGGCGGTGCCGGGAAGAAGGTCTGGTCCCAGGGAGACAGATGAGTAAGCAGGCTGGGATGCTGTCACTGGATCAGGGCAGCGCTGGAGAGGACAAAGTTCAGCCTGGAGCCACTGTCCCGTCAGAGCAGCGAGGACCCAGGCGTCCTGAGTCCACAGTGGGCTCTTCTTGCCCTGTAGACAGGGACTGGGGTCTTGTTTCTTTGGGTCCCAGCATCTGGGACAGAGCCTTGCAGAATGATCCATGCACAGCTAGGACTGTCTTTGTTCTCCTTCGCAAGTTCGACTTGTCCTGTTGCAGAAATGTTACTCGAAACTGCAGCTATTTACTCGCAAAAGTCTCAAAGATGTGTGTTTTTTTAATCACTAAGCTCACAGGAATCTATGGTCTCGAGCATTTGCCCTTGATCACACTCCTTATTTGCTTCGCTTCCTGTTTGTGGTGAGTGACTGGCCCGAACAAGGATAGAAGCCAGGCTGAGTCTGAGACCCCACGACAGCTCAGTCCTAAGGAGGGAAGAGCTGTGGAGCCTCAACCAGCTGCATCACTTTAAAGCCTGTTAACAGCTAGGATGCTCACCCCATCCCCTGTGAGGACAATGAGGTGCAAAGAGGCAGTGCCTAGCATATCACAAACTCTATGTGACTGAACTAGGGCTTGGTCCAGGTTGTCTGGCTTTTACATCCAGTGCTGACCAAAAACCAAACTCACTGCTGTCAAGTGGATTCCAATGCCCGCTGACCCTGTAGGACAGATAGAAGTGCTCCCTAGGTTTTCTGAGGCTGTACATTTTAATGGAAGCCGAAGCCTCATCTTTCTCCTTCAGAGCAGCCAGTGGGTTTGACCCACCCACCTCTGGGGAAGCAACCCAAGACTTAACCCTCTGTGCCATGAGGGCTCCTTAGTTAATGCTAAAGGTGGTCAGTCTTTTCTGGTGGGGAGGGTGTTCAGAGTGCATTGGGCAGAGGAACAAAGGACAGAGCAGCAGCAGGCTTTGTGAGGCCTTCAGTCACTTGTTTCTACTTATAGTGCAGGTGGTGTGGCACTGTAGGGTAAGTACTGGACTACTAACTGCAAGGTGAGTGGTTCAAACCCACCAGCCAATCCTTGGAAACCCTATACAGAGTCGTTATGAAACAAAACCGACTCGATGGTACTTAACAACAACAACATAATGCAGGAAGGAGTCCTGGTATGGCACTGTAAGATAAGCACTGGATTGCTTGCTAACCATAAGGTCTGCGGTTCAAACCTACCAGCCACTCCTCAGAAATCCTATATGGAGTCGTTATGAGTCAGAATCAACTTGACAGCACTAAGCAACAACATAGTGCAGGAAGGAGTCCTGGTATGTGCTGTAGGATAAGCACTGGACTGCTAAACCCACCAGCTGCTTCTAGAAAACTCTCTACAGGGTGCTATGACAGCACTTAATAGCAACATAGTGCATGAAAGGAGCCCTGTGGTGCTATAGAATAAGCACTAGACTGCTAACTGCAAGGTCAACAGTTCAAACCCACCAAGCTGCTCCTTGGGAGAAAAATGAGGCTTTCTGCTCCCATAAGATTTACAGCTTCAGAAACCCTATACAGGTGGCTATGAGTTGGAAGTAGGTGGGTTTGTAGTGCAGGAAAGGGGCCCTGGTGGCACCGTGGGCTAGGCATTGGACTGCTAATGACAAGGTCAGCAGTTCAAACACATCACTTGTTCCGAGGGAAAAAGATGAGGCTGTCTGCTTCTAGAAAGATTTGCAGTCTTTGAAATCTTATGTAGGGTTACTGTGAGGCGGAATGGATGCAATGGCAGTGGGTTTTGTTTTGTTCTGTTTTAAATAGGGCAGGAAGGGAAGAGAGCTGGAGGCGCTAACCAAAAGGTCGGTGGTTTAAACCCACCAGCTGCTACATGGTAGAAAAATGTGGTTGCTTCCCAGAGCTCAAGTGGGAGGCTGTAGCCATTAAACAAGTGCTGGGAGTCCAGAGCCAGGCCAGGACCTTGACGACTGGTTTCTGGATGCTGATTTGATGGTGTCTACTTTGTGGACCACCTGGCTGGCAGGTCTGGGGACTCGGAGCATGTGGGCGAGGAGACAGTGTGTGCAATTGAGGCTGTAGCTCATTCTCAGGATAGGTTTGACCAAGGCTCAGGACCAAGAAGAGCTGAAGATGGAATGACTCCAAGAGTGCCTACCCATCAGAGTGAGATACCACCCAACCCACTTGTTGCATTCCCCGCAGCCTCCGCTTGCGTTAAGTGCATCCAGACTTGTTGGAAGTTGTTGCCGTAAATTAAACAGAGCTTGAGCTTAGGCAGACTAGTTTTTCTTCTTCTGCTGGGTGATGTTAAGCAAGTCCCTTGGCCTCTCTGAGCTTCAAATTCCTCCTTATAAAATTAGGCTCTAAGTGATCAGTGTTTTAGGGCTGTTGTGTGATTAGTAGGTAGAGAGAAGTAGCAGAATATCATCACCTAGGTGAATCTGGGTCTGGACATTGCTGACCTCATCCCTCTTAAGTGCTGTTCCATCTTTGGTGTGGATGAGACAAGAACATCCCATGTGTCTTGTACACATAAGAAACCCAGAAACAGATTTTAAAAGCCAACCAAATGGCATTTGTGCCTATTTTTAGAATAAAAAGTAGCATTTGAACTTTCACAGCCTTGCAGTTCCTCATCATTCTGTGCAACAACATGAGAAGCTGTCTTGTCAGCCCCATTCCCCAGGTGAGACGAGACCCAGGAAGTTAAATGGCCTGCCTAGGGCCACTCAGTATATCCAGGCCATCATCTAGGACCGAGGGTTACAAATCCTAGGTCTTCCCACGCTATAGCTGTGTCTCATTAAGATCCGAGGCCTCCAACGCTGTAGG